GCCAGGAAGAGCCACCCGCAACAGCTTTCCTGGGCTTACAACATTCCTTATGTTAGTTTTACCTCCCACCACAATGCTGAGGAATGGAATCCACACAGTTTAGTGACATTTCACTCACTCAGAAAACGAAAGGCTCTCAAATTATGACAGACACCTTGTCAGAAGAAGAACACGGTGGTGAACAGCCGTGCTTATTTCTGACAGTTTCCCAGAGCCCTATTCTGTACTCATTTTGACCAATTTTTACTGTACCTCTGGAAAGGCAGGCCACTCCTCCTTTGCTGAAGCAGTCTGATAATCACTACGTCCACTAAAAGTAATTAGCTATCAAATAAAATGAAATCCATCTGCCTAAGTTCCAGTAGAAAAATACATTTACACTGAATAAAGGTGAAAAGCTGATTAAATAGCGATAGTGAATGACCACTGCAGACACCAAAAAACAAAGAGCAGTGAAGTCATTTATTCATTACAAGGACTGGGCATGGTTAGGCATGATTTCATTTTTAGAGGTGCAGGTTAAGTTATGTATTACCATCTTAACAATTTGGCTGATAGGAATTGAAAACATTACCACTCAAATGTATCACCCCCAAAACATGCCTCTTTCAGGTTATGCAAAAACCATCCTCACTTCATTAGAGAAGGGAAACTGCATGCTCAGGAGGCAGACACATGTAGGGTTTAGGATGGCTCCTATCATAACGGGAGAGATCTTTGCCAGATTTCAAGGATGCAATCTGATGTAGTGGCTGGGAATAACCTATTACAGAGCCATTTTTCTGAGCTGGATAGTTGGATGAGTAACTGAATGACAACTCAGGATAGAAAAGGGAATTGTAAAAGTCTGTGCCTTTCCTGAATAAGTTTATTAGAGGCTAATAAAATTGAGTGCAAAAGGAACAGACCAGAAGCCTAATGCGCAGTAGGTTCATTCTTGAATGAGGGGAAGGCTCACTACCAAACGTTCAGGATGAGGACTATTATGGAGGCCTGATGGGCTGATGGAAAAATTAACCAGGAGGTGAATACAGTTTAAATTATAGGTCATAGTTGTAGAGAAAAAGATCAGAGATTTAACATGACCATCTTTTTAATACTGGTCAGTCTTACCTCTATGCTAAATGCAACATGTGGGTGTTTTAAAAAATGAAAAACAAGTGTAACAAAACTGTATGCTTGTATTTCTTCAGCTAGAACACAACTTTAGTTTCTTAATTAATCTTTACCTAGCTGAGAAAGTTTTTCTTAGGCTGAGCATTCAGGGTACTCTGAAGTCCTCACCATCACTCTCAACTTGACCCTAACCATTATCATATTACTGTCAAATTACCCTAGCTTACTACTGGCTGACCTTCTTTTTAACCGTATACACCCAATTCATCTCTGACCTGTTTTGGAATGATTTCTGTAGTTGTATATTAGTGAGAGTTTCTAAGGAATGTCCATCATGTTAGAGACTAGCTGCTCAATATCTTCAATGTTAAGTGGGGACAGATGCAAAAAATTCCATTTTTTAAGTGAGAAGGTTGAGTCCTATAGCTGTTAGGTTATTTGACAGACAGAAATTTATGACTCAGTGGTAGATATGGGGCAGAGAAACTAAAATTTTTAACTGCCACTCAAATTTATCTTCCTGTCTAATTGAACCAATTTCAGAGGTTAAATATGCAAAATGCAAAAAAAAAATATCCTTGAAAATAACATGGATTTCCAGGAGAAACAAACATCAAGATCTTTTATCCAATTTAGTATGATGGACTACTTAGATTGATTGGTTTTAGACATAGCCCTAGAGAAAACTGTGAGGTAATGGAGTTGCTTTTGGGGGCTTAAACTCTCAACTCCCTCACATTTATTCCTGCAGTACTATCTTCATCTTTCCGTCGCTTCTCCATAAGATTTTACTTGCAAGAACCAAAGATATGAATATACCTATTTCTGAGAAGGCTTAATATATACTAGATTAGATAATTTGAGGCTTCTTCCAGCTATGGTGTTTTGATTTCATGATATTTTATGCTATGTTCCATTTAACAAAGGATAATGCATTAAGTCAAAGGAATTAGTATCTAATTATGGAATTTAAGGCATGGGTGACACAGGTGGAAGAAGTTTTAGTAAGGACAAAAGAGCCTTCCTTGCATTGTTAGAATGATACTATATTGTTAGCCAGCTTCTTCTGCATATTCATAAAGCTAAACTTAGTTCTAGGTCTAGTACCATTAGACTTCATACTCAATAATTACACTCCCTTCCACTTAAGTCTTTCTCCCTCTGAGTCTAAGGTAATTTCTGGCTTACCTATCTTTCTGACATGAGCATTTAAGACACGAAGAATTTTAAGGAACTAAGATTTAAAAAAAACAGCAATGGTAGTTAGAAAGCAAAATGGATCAATACTTGCTGACTCAGGCCTTCCCATCAGTTGGGGTATACAAGTTTCTATCTAGAGGTCATATAATGAAGTAATGGAAATTGCTTTAAGACTGCAGTAGTAATGCTAACTACTATAGTCAAAGACTAGCAGAGATTTTCATGAATCCAGCATCTTGAGGGATTAAATTAGTCAGCTGAGTTAAATTTATCAGCTGCTAAGAAAAAAATTTTAGGAAAAGAGATACGGATAAAGGATAATGAACAATGTACATTGGGCTTACTAGTAAAGACATAAGCCTGTAAAAGTTTGCAATTGTTTTTTCAAAGACAAACATTCAGTAGCCAACTGTTATATGAAAACTAGAAACAGAGGAGAAAACTGAACAGTAATCATGATGCAGAATAAGCAGTGGTAACTACAAATTAAATGCATGTCAAATTTTCCTGCCTGTTCTGGAGTTACAATGAATGCTAAAAATACATTCTTTCCTGTTCCCTAACTCTACTGCAGTTCTTTGAAATTTCACTGAGAGATTAATGTTTTGCTACAGATAATCTCACACTCTCATCATGTTGTTTGTTTTTGTTTTCCTGAAAGTAATACTTGCAGAAGAAAATGCCTGTCTCACAATGAACTTAGATATAATTCTTTTTCCTCAAGTTTCTTTGATCTAGGTCTCCCAGAGGCAGTTTGTTTTTCAGGTGAAAACATAGCTAATTATATACATGGGGCCAAGGACAGTTGTGCCAAAATTATTAAAGACTTAGTCTTATCTAGATTTACCCCAAATATGCTAGTAAATTACATTGAAGTATGAGAAAAATGCAAAAGGCATGTTCTAAACTTCCATTTAAGAAGACTGGGTTAGGCAGCATTTCCAAATACTAATGCAACATGTAAAAATCAGACATTACTTAAAATGATAACATAAATAAGTTGAAAATAGAAAACCCAATTATTTTTCTATCCATCTTGAGCAAATGCCAAAGAAAGCTAACATCCTAAAGAATAAAATGTAAATTTAAAGTTTTAAATTTTTTTCCAGGTGTACAGGCGTGGGATTTTTCTATTGCTACTTTTGTTTTTTTCATAGTTGATGATAGAAAAAGACAAATGTGGAAAAATTTTTTGGCAGAAAATAATTAATTTTATTAAAAAATGAGTAACAGTAAGTAGTGATACTAAACTCAGGACTGGATCATTATCCAGGAAGCAGGCACACGTGAGGTATATTACTCTTGAAAGGGTCTTCTTTGTGATTTTGGAAGACTATAAATTGAAGATTTCTTCAAAGTAAGGTAAGTCTTACAAACATTAAAGCTAGTAAACCAGAACAGAATTCTGCCCCAAAAAGAATAAAATGGATGTTGAAATCAGCAAATTAAGAGGTTGATTAATATGAAAACTGAATATGTATGTTGCAATTACATGAATTTTGGGACATAGCCTTTGGAATCTGACTTACTTTATGGTAAATCTCATTCAGTGGAGTCCCTTTTTAGTGATTTCCTTGAGATCAGAGCCCTCAAATCTACCTTCAAAGTGGTGAGATATCTTTAAAATGAACCCCTTTCCATAATTTAATCCTATTAAAATGGGCCCAAGATGAACATGTCATATTCTCGAAGTTTATTCATGTAGATAAGGAACTGTTGCAAAACCCCCAGGACATATATCATATATGAAATGCAGAAATATTCTCCTTATATAGTAATTTCCTCTTTTTGATTTCACCTAGCTGGTATGTCTATTTCTCCCAGAAAACAAATGAGATATTTGTTTAATGAGAAATACTCAAAGATGATAAGAGAATGATGGAGAACCACAGCTCCATTCCCTGAAATGATTAAAATATTCACCATTACAAACCACAAGTAAATTAACCTAAAAAGGATGTGTGTTGCAAATGTGGGAACTCAGACTCTTAGATGGGGTTTTGCTGGTAACTCTGCTAGGTTAATGTTTAAAATCTATCATAAGGAACTAATTCAAGAGACATTGCAAATTTCAGTAGGTATGTTCACAGACTTTTTCTCTCTATAACACTCTCTGGTCTGTTTTGGTCCATGAGTTAATAAAGCAACTGATTCAGGGCACTGAATTTTTCAGTACCTGATGCATTTAAAGATACTACTCGCTGAGGAGGACCTGCCTCCATCTTCCCACACCCTGAGAGTTAAAAACAGGGCCCATATTTCGGGGGGAGGATATAAATTGTATTTATGGCGAGTAGAAAGAGGGAAAAGGTCAGGTTGTGTAAGTATTTCATGAACATGTCTCTCCTGCCTTCTTACCTTCTCTCATATAGGCCCTGGGGGTACTGGTTTCAGAATGACAAACCAGAGGGACAGTCCGTGAAGGACTCATTGTCCAAGCAAAGGCCTGCTGAACCAGTAGAAAGAAAATCAAGATGCTCTATCGCGTTTAGGTGGGTGACTATGCAGGCATCATTAATCAAAGTCGACTTGCGCATTAAAGGCACAGACACTTCAACTGTTCTTAGTGCACGTAAAACATAAAATTTTACTGTATTTTATACAATATGTTATCTAATATTAAATAACTAAATTATACATAACTGTTCATAGAGGAGTTTTTCCACATTAGACACTATATGGAAAAACCATTTATCATAACTGATTATAGGAGTTTTTCCATATAAGACATTTTTCTATGGATTAATAATCATAGTGATATATAAATTGGGACTGAAGACTAATAGATTCATCAGCAAAAGAAATCAGCCAGTGCTTTGATGTTAAAATAATCATATCTGGCTTATTTAAAATGTACAAATAAAACACATAATTGTAGCACAAAGAATATCCAGATAATTCAGCCCCATGGACTATGTGGGGAGAAGGTATTGGTGTGACAGCTAAAGGAAGGGACATTGAGGAAATTTTCTCTGGAACATTCTTTATATGTGTAGCTCCATTCTGCTTCTCTCTAATGACAACAAGTCATTCGGGACAGAGAACCAGATAAGCTAGCAAGATACCAAGAGTCCATTCAGTATCACTGTTTTCATACGTCCCAAGCTAGAAGTTAAAATAGTAACGTCTTCCGAAGATCAAATGGCAATTTGCTTTTTATAAGAGAAAGATGCAATTTTATAAGAAATTTAAGTAATGTTTGAGACTTATATAAAAATGTAAAAAGCTCTCTCATATTTTGGAAAGTTACTAGACATATGTAATCGGCTCACTGTAGATAGGTCCGTCTAGAATGTCAAAATTTCCTTCAAAAAAGGAAAAATAAACTATCACTGTTAATTTGAAAGTAAAACTTACTCTCAAGAAGAAATTATAAAAATCATTTTTTTAAAGTAAAATTTACTCTCAAGAAGAAATTATAAAAATCATTTTTTTTTCTATTTTGGATGGTATGTAACTTTCATATGACATATAAAATAGTTAACATTTTTATATGTTTGGCTATGTGGTTGCCTAGCACACTATATTCAGTTTTTCAGCCTAATATAATTAGATACCTACACTTCTTCACAAAGTCTGAACTGCACAAGTTATATTTCTCTTGATGAACACAGAACTGGATTCATCCTCTGGGGTTGCCTCAAACACCTTTATAATTCTGTGTGACTTAATACTAGGACCTTGTGTGGGGATGGGGGTAAAAAGGCATGGAGAAATATGAACATATTTCTAAGGTTATTAATTTATTTAAATAATAAGTAACAATGGATGCTACAAAAATCAAAATCTTATATCAATGCTAAATTACAAATTACCACAGCAGTCATATGTTTAATAATTAAATTTTAAACATAAGCTTTATTACCTGCTAGGTATAATGTGGGTGAATTCCTGTGGCTAGAGGACCCTTAACTTTTGAACTTCCTTGTACTTATGGGAAAAAGACAAACATGTCCCTTGGAAAGAGCATAAATTAAAATACCAATTAAATGTATTATTTAATGCTTAACTTTCTTAATATGTACACTAAATATTATGCAACATGTTTGTGCTGAAATGCCAAATATTATGCCACATGTTTGTGTTTGAAATTAGTATTGAAATGTGTGTATAAAGGAATATGTCTAAGACATAAAGATGATATAAATAATGTATTTCTGAGACACTGCTGTGCACTACCTACTCTTCATTTTTCTGCATATGTTCAGGTTGACTTGCTTCCTGGTTATTAATTATAGCCAATAAAACATGTATTTCAAATAATTTAATGATTTTCCTTATTGAAATTAAGAAGAGATCCAAATGTACCCTGTTCTTGGTTACACATGATTGGCTTCCTAATATCACTTGGTTAATTAGACTGACTTTCCTTGAAATGACTTACTGTTTGAGTTTTGTGGAAATCCAGGCAAGGAGGATGGACCATTCATTCCAGGGAGAAGGACTGGAGGAAGGCCGGGGAGTCCAGGATAGGCTGCTGGCAGACTGATGCCGTGAAGGGAGGTGCTGTCCATCATGCTTGGCTGCTGTACCGCTAAGCCCAGCACATCTGAAGCTTTCTTTATACGATCAAGTTCTTGCTGTGCCATCAGCTGTCGAACGGTGGTTGGGGCCAAGTAATCTTTCTCCCGATCAAGCTGACTCCCAACGGTCTCCCTCACTTTCGAAATGTGCTGCTTGGAGAAGATATGATCTCTGATGGACAAGCGGGCAGAGTACTTCACCCCACAGAGGGTACACTCTGGTTTGGTGCCTTCTGTTCCACTTTGATTAATCATGAAAGGCTTCCCTATGTTGATTTTAAATTTCTTTTCCTTTGCCCTTGCATTCTGGAACCACACCTGCACCACACGCTTGGGCAGACCAATCTCATTCCCTAGCATTTCACACTCTTGCATGGTTGGAGTTCGGTAGTCGCTAAAGCAGGCCTTGAGAACCTTGAGTTGAAGATTGCTCATTTGGGTTCTGAAACGCTTGTGTCCTGGTCGATCGTTACTTTTGGATTTGAAAGGATTGCTGGATCCAAATGGATTCGGTGAACTCGGGTCAGCTATGCTGGATGTTTCGCTGCGGTCAGCATTGTCGTCAGGGTCATCCGTGATATAAAAGCTTTGGTCCTGCTCACCATCTTTATCATTGAAGTGTATGGAGGGACTCGTGAGAGAAAAGAGAAATTTTTCATCGCACACCTCCGTGGTAGGTGTGGTTGCAGTTTTCGGCACAGTGTCCAGAGTTTTGGGCTCCTTGGGGGACAGAGCTGGCTTCCCATCTCCAGAGCTCCCCGCGGTGCTCTCCATCTCGGTGTTCCCCTCGTCTCCGGTGGTAGCATCACTGATTGCTGTATTAATTGATGAAGTCTCATCAAAATCAGTTTTATTTTGATCAAAGCCGGCCTCAGCAGGAGGGGCGTTTAAATTCTCTACATCCTCAGAACATTCTGCTTTGAAAGAAGAAGGGCTTAAAAGATTCTTCGGTGACAGCTCTGCTGTTTTACTAACAGGTGTTGACACAGTTGAAGCCAGTTCATTCTCACTTGATAGATCAATTTTTGTTAAGGGCAAAGATGGATAATCAAAATAAATGTACTTCTGTGGGCTTTCTCCCCCATCTTCTGTTGTTATCAAAGGGCTTGGTGGCAAGCTGTATCCTGCCTGCTTTCCTTCATTCCAGTGCCGAGAGCGAATGTGGCTTTCCAAGGCTGACTTTGCTTTAAACAGGGCTCGGCAGAACGGACACCGTTTATGGGACTGCGCGGGACCCACTGCCCGGAACTGGCCTTTCCTCTCTCGGGCTCGTGTATTCTGGAACCAGACTTGTACGACACGCTTTTTCAGCCCCACTTCACGTGCAATATGATCAAGCATTTTTCTGGTAGGATTGGAATCCAACAAGTATTTTTCGTAGAGGATTTCCAGTTGCTCCGGGGTGATTGTGGTTCTCAAGCGTTTATCTCGGTGCTGGTCTTCACCACTATTCCCTCCCTCCTTTTCACTGCAATTGTTATCTTCTTTATCATCCAGTTTCCTTTTAAGGGAAGCAGCAACGGCTGCAGGGGCTGTGGCATGGGAGGAGCTGGTCTGAGGTGGCATCTGTGCGAGAGAACCACTCAGCAGCTGTCCAGTCATCAGTGGGCTGTTGGGATCGAATATCATGTAGGGCATATCCAGAGGCCTCTCCAGGAAGGGAGAGTGGAGGAATTGGTTTTGCGCAGCAAGGAAGTGCATGTGCTGGTGCTCCTGCCAGAGTTCCAGAGTTGGGAAGGCAACTGTACACTGATCACATTGGTATTGTAGTAATTGTGGAGGTAGACTGTTCTGGAGAGAAGTCATGGAAATTGGCAGTGGACTGGAAGGGACCGGAGTCTGGGAGGCTGAGGGAGGTCTTCCCACAAGCTGGGGTGGTTTTGGTGGCTGTGGCTGTGGTTGAGCTGCAGCAGAGGCCTGCAGTGGGTCTGAGGAAGTTGACGCTAATGGCAGGGCTGGTTTGGTGACTTGAGAAGGGGGAGAAGGGTCACGCTGCTTTGGCTTTTCTGTGGGATATTCAGGTTTTGGAGATGTCTTCTCAGGTTCTGGTTTGGGTGAAGGAATCAGAGGGGTGCTAGTCCCAGAGCCACAGCTTGCTGCAGGGACGACAGCGTTTCTGGCTGCATCCGTTTGACCAGACGCTGTGCAATGCCTATACACGACTTGGTCGGCAGCATCCATGGAGTCCTCGGTTTGGCTTTCGTCTTGCGCATCATCATCTTCATCCTTATAACACTGCTTTTTCTGATGTGTGATCAAGTCAAAGATTCTGGGGAAAACCACATTGCACTTTTTACACTGGTACTGCATGTTGCTTGTTCTAATATACCGTTCATTAGTGAGTTCTCTTTTTTCATTGTCTTTCGTTTCTGCTTGATTCTCATAACTCTTCCGTGCCTTCTGTCGTGCATTCTGGAACCATACAACAATAACGCGGGTAGGTAAATTGAGAACAGTGGAAAGTTGTTCTATTTCATCATCTTTCGGGTAAGCATTTGTGTCAAAAAAGTCTTGTAGGACCCTAAGCTGGTAGTCGGTAAACCTTGTTCTAGAAGACCTTTTACTGAATGATGCGTCAGATTTGTAATGTTCTAAAGAGGACGGCTGTGGATCAATTCTGATGTCTTCCAAAACAGTTATGGGAGGATTGCTGAAGTTGTATGGTGAATCCTTATTTCTCTGTCGCTCCTTAAAAAGCGTATTTCGAAACCAGTGCTTGATGACTTTTTGAGAGAGGCCAGATTTCTCTGCCATTTCTTGGACCTGTTCTTCACTCGGAGAATTATTGATGTCAAAGTAAGCCCTCAGGATTTTCAGCTGGTCGTCTGTAATTCTTGTCCGTGGGCGTTTGAACTGAGAATGTCTCAAGAAGTTGGGATCTAATCCGAGCTGCTGCTGGCAGAGCTGAGTGAGGTCTGCCGAGAGAGCGTCCATCTGGGGCAGCTGCAGAGCGAGCTGAGGGGGAAGCGCCGGGTGTTGTACGGGCTGCATCATAATGGAAGGAAAGAGTGGCAGGTCTAGGGAAACAGGCAGCTGGACTTGTGCCGGAGCAGAAGGGGGTGGCGGTGGGGGCGGGGGTGGGGGTGGAGGTGGGGGCGGGGGCGGAGTGGGCGGCGGAGCCTGGAGGGGAGTAGGCCCTGTGCTAGGCACTTTGACGGGGCCCAAGGAGGCTGGCTGTGGAGGGGCTGCAGGCAGCGGTGGAGGAGGAGGCGGTGGAGGTGGCGTCTCTGGCGAGGATGGAGAGATGGGATAGAGCCTGTCATAGGCCTCCCTGTATTGACGAGCAAACTTTTCTAGGGCACCATATGGAAAAAACTGCCCGTGTACATGTTCTTGGTGACTCTTCAAAATGAGAACATTGGAGAACAATTTTCCACATGTTCCACATTCCAGTTTATCAGTATTTTCCCCTTCACCGATTTTGCCCTTCTTCTGAACCTTCTGCCTGTTCTCATTATACTGAATGACCAGTTCAAAACCAAAGTTTTCCAGTAATGCTTTGGCTGCATTTCCTCTCGCCCCAGAAGCTATTCGGGGTGGCAGGATGGATGGTTCCAAAGATTTCTGCTTCTTTGTGTCCTTACCTTCTTTGAGCCCTTCACCTTCACTTAAAAATTCTTGCTTTGGCTTTTCTTGCTTTTCAGCCATCTCTTCTGCCTCCTTGTATGGGGGCACATCCTTTACGACCGGGCAGTCTGTGGTGGCATTGCTAGTCTGCTCCTGTTTCGATGCCTTGCTCACCTGCACCTGCTGCTGTTTTTGAGACTGCAGCTGGGGCTGTGTGGCCTGAAACTGTTGCGCTTGCTGCTGGAGTATCTGCAGTTGGGTCTGGCCAACGTGATGTTGGGTTTGAATCTGCTGCTTCAAGTCTTCAAACAAAGATCCCGCCATTCCTGTCATGCCGGGCATACCGAATGTGGCAGAGCCTGGCAAGCCCAAGTCTGGCCCCAGGCTGAACTCTGTCCCAGGTATGTAGAATGGAAAGAGAAACTGAGGCTGCTGAAACTGCAGCAGTGCTTCCGGGGTCATAGGAAAGTGAGGCAAAAAGGCCGGGTTTAGAAACTGAGGCTGAAAGAATGCAGCTTGTTGTTGTAACTCGTGCTGTAGTTGCATCTGAATTTGTGCTGGTGACTGCAGTGGGTGATGAGAAGCTTGAGCAGAGATTAATTCCGGAGTTTGCTTTTTATTTAGTTCTTTGGCATCTAAGTGGGTTTCCTTGCTGCTTACCGCTGTTAAACTCATGGAATCTAACATCCCTTGGCTGGGACTATTAACAGCTGCAATGCTGTGCCCACTGGTCACGTGACCACTTGGCTCCAGTTTTGCGGCCCTCGCCTTTGTCTGGTGGAGCACAGACCGCATGTGGATTTCCAAGGTAGAGCTTTGGCTGTACGCAACATTGCAGATGCTGCACTTGTAGGGCTTGTTATCTGCGCTGCTGTTGGTTTCTTGGGGAACAGGACTGGAGGCTTCCTGCAAGACCTTTTTCAACTTATGCAGATGAGAAACCGAATTATAATGGACCAAGAGAATGTTCTTTTGGGTGAATGACTCTTTACACACTGTACATTTATACGGGCGAGATGGATCAAGGAATTTTTCCATTGTAAAATTTGGCCCTTTTCTAAAAGGTAAGGTCCGCTTTGGTTCAGAGCCCATGTCATCTGGAATAGAGCTGCTATCACTTCCTACAGGACTTGCCTTCCCTTCGTGGTCCACCTCGTACTCTCTCTCCAGTTCCTGCTCCAGGGCATGGTCGTCCTGAGCCATAGTTTCACTCTCGGCCCAGAGTTCACCATTCACAGGCAAGGAGGCATACAACTGTTGAAGTTCAGCTTCACTCAGTTCAGGGTGGCCTGCTTCCAAGTGTTTTTTTAAAGCCTGGAATGTACGAAAACTACGCTGGCAGAGATTACACATCGTTGCCGCCCGAATCGCATGATACTGGGAATGTATCTGAAGCTTCTGCATAGTCTTAAAAGCCAAGCTACAATGGTTACAGCGATACTTATAAACGTGGCGGTCCGAAACAGAGAGTGGCTGCCTCTTTTGCTGTTCACTCAATTGATCTTGCAGTGTGTCAGGGATTTTCATATCCTTACTGCTGTTTTTATGCCATTCTGACACCTCAATGGTTTCCTTAGCTGGTTTCTGCTCCTCACTCTTTATTTCCACACTAGCCTTTGAATCATCAAGACCTGCCATGCTTTTGTCATCCACTAGACTTTCACCTATGGAAGAAAGCAGATACATCACTTATAAGAAGAAAGCCAACTGCTTAATGCCACCAAATAGTGTAAGTAAGAGTCTCTGAAGGTTTCTGATTACTTGATTCTTTGAGGAAATGATTATTGAGCACCTATGTGGCAGGCACTGTATCAGACACTGGGGATATGAAATCACCCTTGACCTCAAGGAATTTCAGGACAGGGAAGAAAACAAGTCAAAGGTAATTAGAGTATGCTGCAATCAGTGTGCTACCAAGGGCCATAACCATGATACCGGTGTCCAGGAATTAGAGCATTAGAGCACACATTGACACGTGGGTCACCCAAGGGCAGTCACAGATAAGTAGATGCTACATGTGGCTCTTAGAAATGCTACACTTTTTTGCTCCTTCCTGCTTTTTCTTAAAGTCTGATAATAATAATCTTGGAACATCCCCACAAATGCCCCCACAAATGCCCCTGATTCTGATCATTGCCTGGCATACCTGAATACTTCCCAGATCCCTCAGCTGTGATGGCTGCAGGAGTGTCCCGCTCCGATTTCTCAGAGGAGGCTGCTGGCAGTAGCAAGCTGTTTGGCACCATCACATCAGGGGCAGGAACCTGTGAAAACCCAAGGGGTTCATGTCAAATGCACCCCGGAAGTCACAGGTTCCATTGCATGTGCCTCTTGGCAAGTTGCATATTCCATTTAACATCTTTCCATTCAAAGCGGGGACATTGTGTGTATCTTACAGGCCAATGCCATCCCTTCCAACTTCAGACCAATGCTGTTGCAATGCTGTATTCTTTAAAATATGGTCTGAAGGTTTTTGGAGGTCTAATTCTTTTATGATGATAATCAAGGAGGTCTGAAACTCGACGTGCCCACGTGAGCCATTTGATTAACAGATATAAAAATAAGACCACAAAACACTGAATAAGCTACGCCTTGTTTTTTTTCCCTAAGCAAAAGAGACAACAAATGGGCCTTGAACTGTGATGTTTATAACACAGTCAGCAAAAAGTTTTAAGTACTGCAGAAGACATAAATTTCTACCAACCAATAATTACAGACTTTGTGTTGATACTTTTACTGAGATTATGTCACACATGCATCAGCATTTGGTATCCTTACTGTCATGAGCAGCTTCTCTACACAGTCTGGAGACACACTGTGCAGATGTGTCAGATGCAGCTGGAGGTGCATTTTGTTGCTGAGGATGTCCTGGCAGAGGGGACAGCAAATGACCGGCTGCACTGAGTGCTGGGATAGGACATGCATCTGGATGCGACTTTGGTCTCTACTGTTGTAGTTACAATAAGGACACTGATAGAACTGAAAAATATTGAATAAACATGGCCACTATTAGTCAGTGTATTTTGATGACTTCAGAACATTAAAAGTAATACCAAGAGTTAATTATATTGCCAATTGCAATGTTAACATACAATTTCAACAACATGGAATCATTTAGGGTTCTACAATTATTAGGGGCAATAATTAAAAATAAAAACAAAAACAAAAAAGCACACAAAAAAATAGGTTTCCCCAGCAAAGGGGGAAAAATCATATTTACCTGTTCATGACAGAATTTACTGTCCTCTGTCGGCTTTGATCTTTTTGTTGCAATATCCTCTTCCTTTGCCAGCAGGAGTGGCTGGGTCCCCCCTCCCACACTGACTTTTAGTTCCTTTTCTGGTGTGATTATTCCTGCTGCCCCAAAAAGAATAGAACACATCAATTTTAAAAGACTAACAATGTCAAATTCTGAAAAATTACGTGATTTTCAAGTAGGTTGACTCTAAATCCACTGAATCACAAAAATAACCGGACAAGCACTTTTAATCTCAAAAGGCAAAAAGCCCACTTCTTTTTGTCCACCGACTAAATGGATTTTATAAATATATTTTAAAATGTACTCCAGTCTCATGTTTAGATAAGCCTAGGTGCCTTGAAAGATTCATCAATAGCATGTGCTCTCTGGTGTCTCAGAATGCCTTTATCACATTAAAGCAAATCTCCTCCCATTCACAAATGCTAACTTAGAAAATAATTATGTTTAGCAATGTTTAATTACCTATTTCTTTTCTAAAAATTCTTGGACACTGAAAAGATCTGAAAATTCTGAGGAGAGCTGACTAGTTATAATTCAGAAATGAAAATAATATTTCTAGGTGGTGAATGTAGGATTTAAAAATTAAGTAGGCATATCTGCTGCTGCATTTGTGATTTACTCTTTGCTTTAGATGTTTTAGCAGTTGGCTGGACACATAAAATCATGATCCAAATCTCAAGAAGACAATTGTTTTATGAGGTTAATCCAAATACTCGGTGTTAAAGACAGTTTAAATTTTTGCCTAGATGAGCTATGTAATGTGCAGGAGCCTCACACACATCAAAGAAAAGAGTGTGATTCTAATTTCCCAATCTAACAGAAAATTCTTTCCAGCATCAATTTTCCCAATAATCTCCTCTGCGAGGCTGGATATTACAGCGACATTGGGTAGGCATGTCACATACATCTCACGACAAACACAAAACCTCATTTACCATCTATTCCAATCTCATCATAGCACGGCATCATCTGACCTTTTTTCTGCTGTTTATTATGAGTATTTCTAATTTTAACTTTCAATTTTCACCATCTTCCAGTCAATTTGCAACTAAATTATTTCCAGGGTGAGGACACTATCACTGGACAACTGGGTGCAAATATATCTTGAAATGCAATGAAGCTAAACCATTGATTGCTATCAGACCCTGCATAAATACAGAGTCTAGGCGTAATCTGATTGTATGCTGTGCATGAAGATTTATCTTGATTTTTTTCAATCCACATACGGTTCATATAAATGAACAAATTGCATTTTATTGCAAACTAACACAGTTTTAATTTAAAAATAAGGTCAAGGATGTTATGGAAACAAAGTAAAAATGAACCAAAAAAATACATTCTTTTTTTTTATCCTGGATAAAGATGCATATTTTACACCATATAAGTAATTTCAGAAGTTTCAAATTCAGAAAGAAATTTTAAAGTAAGAATGACTCTGAGGAGACCAAAATTAAAATAGAACCTAAATGAGGTAATGACAATAATTTTATTCCCTTGAGGTTTGTGGTAGGTACAGAATTAGTGCTTTGCGTTCAACAAATTACAATGAGATTGACTTCCAGATTTACAAATACTAGATTTTATTTGAATGAGTACTTTTGTACCATATATACATATGCGTTGGAGAAATTTAGATTCTTTCTAGATATTTGAAAAAATATTTCTCATATTTATATTTGAATGAGCTTAAATTTGAGATAGACTGAAGAATTTTGTTCAATATTAAATAATATCCAAGTATTTGATACCCAAAGATATGTCAAAAACAGGAATGTTTATTTCATAATTAATTCAAAGCAAAATACATTTTGTGCATTGTTTTGAAGTGTTAAACAGAAAATAGTATGATATATAGTATTTGCAAATAAAATTTACTGCTTACAGTGTCAGATCAAGTTGTTTAAAATGATTGCCATTTAAATCAGCAAATGTCTGTCAGTTGCTTTCTCCTGTGAGACTGGAAGATGTCTTAAGAAGTTCCCCATTAATGGGTAAGAATATGTTAATAGTATGTCATATTCCTTCAGTGTACATGGTAGAATCAGTCATGACCAAATAAGTTGGTCCAATTCCCTATGTTACCAAAGACAGTCACATACAAGTTAAAAGAGAATGTCCATGACTTTTACTGCTTATAGACCTTATGGAACATCAGAAATAGAATAAACCTCCAGAAACTCCTAAAATCTATTAAAGGTGTAAGTATGGACTTACTTTCCTAAGCATATATGCTCTAATATTGGTGATATAAAGGATCAAAACTTGATTTCAAGGTTTAAAATATTTTATGAAGATTATATGATACATTGGTATAATTAATCTGTGTTCTTATTTTGATATTTATTAATATTCATCAACAATGCAATTGTTTTTGAATTTACTGACATTCCATGCTGCATCAAGAAAGAAAGAGTTAAGTTTTAGGGTCATTAATTCTTTGTCATTGTGATAACTGTTGGCTATAGTGTTCCACCTACTATATGTCAACTTCAATATTTTTTGGCTAATCAGTTAATTAAGACCATGATCTTAATATAAGCTAGAAGCTTCCTAAAAACCATTATATTCTGATTTTAAAAGAAGTTATAAAGACTAGGCTCCTAACTGTAGCTGGGCACCCCAGAAATGCATGCCATTGATAAAAAGAAGCAGAGAATGCTGAGATGCAATAAGACAAAAACAGACTCTTGAGAATAAAGCAGGTCATCAGGATTATTTGCAAAGATGATGGAAGTTGCATGCAAGCTTTGCTACTAAAGGGCACTATCTCAGGTGTTATGGCCTCTCTGGTAAATTATAGGAAATAACTCTGTTTTTTCTTTCATTGTTTTATCCTAGAAATATTATATATTAAATAAGGACCAGTCAATTTTTGGAAGGTTTGATGAAGTTTTGTGATTACTTACAGTTTATCTGAAACTTTATTTGAAATAAAAAAACCTACTTGTTACCATAGACAAAATTTGGAAATACAATCATAATTCATTTTGTGTCATTAAGGACATCACAATAATCTCAAGAAACATTGCCATTTTACTGCATTTAAGCAAAAAAAAAGGAAGTGTAATTTAAGCAAAAAAAAAGGAAGTGGACTAAATTGCCAACTAGATGAGCCAATGATTATCTGTCAGTTATGGGATTATTTAACTTGCATGAGACTGCTAATATAAAAATGACATAATTCATTTCAATTCAGATGCCGCCTACTTAATAATTTTCAATTCCTAAAATACAGAAGGCTGTCAAATGGTTTATACTCATAACAAGTAAGGAAAATCCAATAACACATATGTACTCAAAGCAAATCTTGAAAAACAATAAAACATAATACTGAGTTATTATTTATCAATCAGTGGTATTTGTTAAAGTTTGAATACTATACAACTTGGATGTAACAGAAGACGTTATTCAACTCCAAATAATTCTAAATTATAATTGCTGGTACAGTATTCTTTCTAATGAGACTAGAATGAAAGGATAATTTTAATTGCAGTAATGAAGGTTAATTTCCATCTTTCCTGATGTTTACTCCTTTATTAAAAAGTGGTCCCCTTGGCCATGGCAGAGACATATTACATTTTCAATGCAAATGTATTAATCTGGATAAACTCTATATTAATTCTTGTACTGCACAGAGCTATAATTTGGATTATAATTAATCTAAAGTGGCACTAGATTTAAATGACAATATAAATGAGGCATTAGGAGGCTTTTCTATTATGAATGAATATTCAACAAATATAACTTGCATATTACAAGTCTCATTTTGAAAGCTCTAGTCCTAGAGATTAATGTCAGCAATACAGCACAACAGCTTACACAAACATAGTCTCCCTAACATGTGTTAATTCCTTCCTGTCTAGGAAATTCTGTATTAAAGTGGAGTCATGCTATTTTCCCATCTAACGCAGTAAGGTAGTGATTAATTTATAAGTTTGCCAGTATTTTTTGACATTTATAACTGATGTAAGAAAGAAATGATATATACATAAGTGGTTACTCAATCATTAGAAATATTTACAAGGAGAAATATCCATATAATAATTTTTTCACCTAATCAGATTCAATTTAGAAAACAAAATTTTGTTCATGTTCATTATTAATAACAATAACTGTCTTGAAATCCAGGAGGTTTCAAGGTAAATATTTGCATCTCAGTAATTGCTTTTAGTTAGCACTTAAATCCCATTTCTACCCCTATAGATATACCTGGGAGACATTTATAAAGGAGTAAAAATTTGTTTTAAACAATTACCATTATGCAATGCTCTGTATCCTCTCGGATGCCCAAGTTTTGTCTGGATGGTACGATTAGGAGCCCAAGAAAGGACAATAACTCATCAGGCCATTAGGGAGTGACTGAGCTCATTATTTATACACAGCAGTAAATGGTACTGGTGGAGAGAGAGTCCCTGCAGCTGTGGTGTGTTTCAAACAGGACTCTTCCCTCAGTGGTAAGACTGGATCCATTTTCAAGAATTCCCAGGATCCAGCCTATACCTGGCATTAGATATTTAAAACCTAGCATGATGTCATATATCTAAGTGTTAACATGAGCGAGCACTCAGTGAACATGAATTAGGCTATCTTTGTGTTTTGCACATTCTTCTGAAAAGTGGGAGGGACAGGCTCTGCAGTTTCTTTTGGTACCACTGTGAGAATTGAAGACAGAATCCTGCCCTCCCTGAACTAGTCGAGCAACTAGCTTTGAGGAGGACTATCCTAGAGAGTGAATAAACTGACTACCTTGCTATTTCCAATTCTTCTCAAATGAGGTTTAGATGACACTGTCCTTGACCTTAACTGATCACTAGGTACTTCAAATTCCTTGTCAGTAATCGAGGACCTAGCTTAGTAGTAATACACAGCTATGATATCTTTTTTACATCACTTTATGCTCAATACCAACCTGAGATCCTCTTTGTTTAAATCAAATTAAAATCACATTAGCCATGATATCCTAGATGCAAATTTAAGTGGTGCTCTCTCTCCAGACTCCAGGGAGAAATTTAACATTGAACTGTGTGGGGTGGGGAGAAGGCAGGGCCTTCAAATAATTTTTGAGGGAAATGCAGATTAGATATGCAAAGACTGAATTACAAATGTGGGATCATTCAGGTTTAAATAAACTTGCACATAAAGATGGTATTTTTTTGCACAATCGAATGTCTTCATAGTGAAAACAAGCTTCTTTATATATGGCTGTCACTGGAATTCAAGGAAAAGATAGATGAGTACCTGAAAGTAATAGGCTTGAACCCGTTTCAGCACTTCTTCTGCTTCAATGAGTCCAACATAATAAAACTAGGTATAGCGTGCAGCAAAAGTATCCAATGTAATATTCATTGCGACCATAGATTTCCATCTCATACATACAAAGCATGGATGAAGTCATATATTTGCCAAATCAAACACAGAAAAAAGCCTTAGGTATCCACACCAGATGCTAGCCTAAGGTTTGTTTGTGCACAAGTAAATGTCATGACATGAAGGTTTGTTTTCAAAGACAGTAGCTTTCATTACTGGGATTTGTCTATTCTAGAAGATCAAAATTACCCAGCACCTAATCCCTTTTCAATGATATTTCCTCTTTCTTAGGCTGAATCATCTGTAAACTTTTCCACTGGATTTTGTTTGAAATGCCTCAAATAGATGCCCTTAAAAAGAGCAAATTCCTGAGTGTGAGTTGTAAAAGAGCAAGGAAAAAATAACATTTATTTTTAGGGTTACGTGGTATGTGTGGGTGCATGTGACTAAATGAAAAAAATTCAAGTGATATCTAAACTCATGCTTATGAAAAATTAATATACCATCAGAGGAATCACAAGTGTAGCTAAGATTAATGAAAGGTGCTTAAAAAATTACAAGCACACAAACTGATTTGATTAAAAAATAATCTCACTGGTCGTCCTGTAATATTCTTCAACTTATCCACATCTATTCTGTCAGATGGTTATGATTAAAAATAGGTCAATGGGAGGCTACTGATAGAAATCACATGCAAAACGCACATGCAGTGAATAGTGGTGGGTATGTTCAGACAGTTTAAAATGAATAAAAGCTTTTAATAAGCTTTGAGGGGAGTGTGTCAAAGAAGCGCTGATTGCAGGGTTGGGGTTGGGGGTGGGGGAAGGAAAGGTGAAAGATTCTAGCATCTTACCAGAGTCTTCATTAGGGTTTTTGCCTTCACTCCTGTCTCTCTCCCTTGTGTCTTTCTCATCACCCTCAGCCACTGCTGTGGGTTTAATAGTGCCTTCTGCCTCACTTTGTTCTTCTGTTAAGAGAGGCAGACCAGTCAGTCGGATTGAAAACCCCAGAGAAATGTACACTAAAATAACCTACGTGGACATTTCAAAACTTCGTTATTTACAGATCATCTGCAGACATGCATACATTTATTCATAAGTCTCTATTAGAACCTACTGACTCTACCGAAGTCAGTTTTATCTAAAGCAACTTCTTTTACATCCATTGAGAAAACGTGCCAGTACTAAATTAAAAGAAATCATTTTAAGTACAGTTAAAGCTAGACAAGATTTCTAAATGGCTATAAGGCATTTCTGTCATTTCGATAGTAGAACCTTCTAAGCAACATGGACCTTCTGTTCCATGGACTTGGATAGATAGCACAAACCAATTTTTTCAAATTCTTAGAGAAAATTCTTTGTGAAATAATATGTTAACAACAGGTTGAATGTCAGATTGCATTCAGTCCTTCATTCAGTCCTCAGAACCCAGAGGAATTTTTTGGAATCTGTCATAGAGTGAGATCTCAAAACTTCCGCCACACTAGGATTTTTCTTTTCTTTTTTTTTTCTATAGGGGGAGCTATCCAGGGCATAGGACATTAAGAGGGTGTACTTCTATGACAACCACATCACCCCACACCTCATTCACGGGTTCACACCAGCTAGATTACATGGAAATCCTCATAGTAACTCAACCCAATTTAATTATTCTGTAAATCTTAGCTATGCCACTGCTGGTGGATTAATCTGTTTATGCAGTTAGCTTCTATGCTGGGTCTGTGAAGCACTAATCCTTGAAAGGCCCACTGTTCTCTTTCATCCTGTGATCATTTGTCTCTCACTGTGCTGATGTCACATTTTAATGAATTTTTAGCAATCTGAGTAATGCCAGATAACCAGACTCTCAACTCCCCACAGCATGGCATGCTGTTTTCATTGCAGCACAAAAAAATAAAAATCATATTCCCCTGTCCAGGTAGGAATTACATAAATTAGGAGAAGAAGGTAAAATGGAATTTGAAGCCTGGGCTGCTCAATTTCATAAAATCTTTAATGACCATATAAATTAACCCTGGAAAGGCAAAAGGTCATCGACACACATTTGCATACACTCTACTATTTGCTTTTGATAAGCGGAGCTTTTATTCAGAGAACATGATACAATTAACCCTTCAATAACCATACAAAATGCTGCTATGGACATCTTAAGTGTCAAGCATTAACTGAAAATTACACACTGCATAAAATTTTCATTGCAAATGCTGTAGTGATTGAAAGGGGAAATCGTGGTCCTCTCCACACCCCATGTTTTATTAATAACATTCTGACAGCAGAATGAAATATCCACTGTCATATGTAGCAGCTGAGCACACACACACAAAAAATGCTATTTAGTGCCTCACTTGCCAGCCATGCATGCTCTGCCACTGTATAAGCAAGAAAAAACAGAGGGGTCCATCCTGGGCTCACTGGGGGAAACTCAACTGTGAGGGAAAGCTAAGGGGAAACCAGGACATTCAACACATTTGAAACAAGAGTTTTTACAACTGTCAGTCCTCAAAGGCACCATACAAACCCACACATTCCATCCTTGCACTGTGCCACTGCAGAAAAGCAGCAGAGAGGTCCTTGTTGTGGGGGTGGGGAGGAGTCTGTCATCAGAAAGGGAAGCTTCTCTTTCAGGCAAATGCACATGGACATTTTACTTTAAGAAGAGAATCCACACTTCTTAGGGCTCTAGCCTGCTTCTCCCCAACAGTGATAATTACTGATCAAACACAGGCTGCCTCCTCCCCGCAGGGGCTGGGCTGGGTGGGGCAGTGGCCTGCCTGGCTCAGCTTTGAGACTGTAAGGCTGAGATCATGACTGGACTGGGCTGTGTCCCTGCCAAGTCCACACACATGACGCGACCCCCAGTGTCAGGCCATGACCTACAACAGCCCATGGCAATTACTTTTCAACTCATCCTGGGGAAAGGATGCAAGACTTCTCTGAGTAGATTTACTGGACCTTTCCCCCAGGGCTGGAAAATGAAGTGTCAGAGTGCTACCGAGTGTCCTTATCTTGAGGGGACATAAAATTGTAAGGGCTATCGCAACTCACATTAATAAAACATGTGTGTCAGGAGAAGAAAACGAAAATTATGAAGGTACTAAACGAAAAAACTACTATAATCTGGGTCTCATCAGGCAATTTTTCCAGGGTCTTCTTCTTCATTTACTCGTATGTGTTTTAAGTGTGAGAGAAATTCCCAGACATGTTCTTCTATACATCACTGTGGTGTCTGACCTCAGCCTGACCCTGGCAACAGTTTGAGAAATCTGAATGTGAACAAAGACTCTGTGTCAGCAGCCGGGAAAGATTGTGGGGTAGGCTCGACCCATCAACTTAATCGCAAACAGCAGTTCTGAGGCCATAACTTTGCTGAGCTCTTCCAAGCCACAACTCATAACCTCTGGAGATGGGTTTGCCCGCACCGCCTCTGCTTCTGTGACTTGCCCCCTCTCCACTTCTTTTCTGGTTCTTCCTTTGAAGTAGGCAGGCAATTAGTTCTAATGCTCAAGCAATTCAGACCCATTTTGTGGTTTAGAAGGTGAAAGCTGTTTATAACAGGTAGGCTCTTTGGAGCCACAGAATTTGCAAATTTTTAATCATGCAAAAAATAATCAAAGGGTAACTTCTATAGACCATAAAATTTCATTAAAGTTAGAAAAAAGATCATTTTCATTCTCAAAAAGAATTTTTGAAACAAACTTGGCATTCATTTTACAAATAGACTTTAGAGTCAAGAGTATTAATGTGGAGAAACCACTTTCTTCAGAAAAACTGCAGTTGAATTTGAGGTTACAGGAAGGAGTGCCTACATTCTAATTTTTAAGTATCACATTTCCTCAACTGAAAAATGGAATAAAATGTAAGATGCTTTATAGGAAAAAAAAGTGTTTATGTGTATAACATATATGCATATATATATATATATGTTTGTATATGGCATTAAGTGTATTAAAGGGATGCCTTAAAACTGAAATTACATAACTTCTATAAGTTCCATTCAATAAAATTCTGAAATAAAGATACTACATTACATAAAATTCCAAAATAAAGATGCAAAAGCAGTTTTTATTTTCTTGATAAGAAATGAAAGATTCTTCATTAACATCATAAGGTTTCTTCACTAATATAGTGCATGTAATAACAATGAAAGTATTAGATTAGAGGACTTTATAATACTGTTGTATCCAAGCATATATATTGTAAACTATTCTTTTGCCTTATGGAATATAAAAAATACAATTTTTATTCATATGTTAAGGTTTACGATATGAACATATTTAAGCTTCAAATGTGCATTAGGGTCTGGTAGAACTTCCCAGTTTTCCAATAAGTGATAATACATTTTATTTTAAACATTGCAAAATAATAGTAAGAAGACAAAATAATACTGTAGTCTTACCTTATAGAAGTACTCTACACTGACTGCCCCTAGCATTTTTTCATGTCTAAAATGATGAGCTTTTAAGTTACTCTACACATATCCAAATTATATTTAAAACAAAAGTTTTGCATGAATAGCTTTGAATGATTGGAAAATCACTATTCACCTATTCTATAAAATGATCATATAATTTCCAAGCAAATCTACTTCAGTGATATCCTTCTGTTCTAAGCTCCAGCTAGTTGTACTTGGTTCCCATTGCTTTGTTATCTTTATTATATAATTGGGCTTTGGAATACTCAGTCTTTTAAGGAAATTATTGTATATTTTTATGCCCATGGGGTAATCATGTAGAGGAAGCACAGGATAGTAACTTGAACATCTTTAGTTTTAAGTATTAAGCATCTATTCCAGATAACTGGCTTATGGGGATTCTCTCCTGGACTCCATTGTCTCCCTGCACAGTCTCCACCCCATCTAAATCTATCCTCCATTTGACCTGCTAAACCTGCCTTCTCTACTTAACATCTTTAGTGACTCCTATCACTTTCTAAGGAAAAGCTCTATCTTCTATATGTGGCAAGGATACCTCCAAGATATCTGGTACTTGTTTACCAGCCCAGTTACATCTTTCTTTACCTCCTACCTCGGACATAAATGCTCGAGAACTCATCTGAAACTTTAGGACATCATAATTACCCATAAGACATGTTAAAATGCAGATTGCTGGGCTTTACCCCTAGAATTTCTGATTCAATAGATTTAGAATGAGGCCTGAAAATTTACCTAAGCTTCCAGGTGCTGCTGAGGCACCTGGTACTGGGATCATTTTTGTGAACCACTGTTCTAGAAACATGCAACTGTTATTAATGCCCTCCTCCTTCCTATAAGATACACCATTATATTTCTTTGTGTTATCTAGAACAACTTTTCTCCACTGTGTAACTCCTACTTTTCCTTCAAGCCCAGCTTGGGAAATATTGGTTTCATCATCTGTAAAAATTGAGTTAATAATACCTACCTCATAGGTTTGTTATGAGATAATAGATAAAAATCAGTCAGCCCAGAGCTTAACACTAAGTATTAAAAATATCAGCTGTATTATTTTTAGTACTATTAATTGCTTCTTTCTCCAAAAATTTTTCCTGAATGTTGAACAAGAATCAATGTTTCTGGGTAATTTTTTTTTCTTTTTCTTGTGTATTGAAGTCAAACAACTTACTCCAGTATGCGGAAAATATCAGTGTATTGCCTTCTTCCTCTAATAGGTACACATATACTGAAAACAGTGATTGTCTTCTTTATCTTTGTGCCAGAAGCACCAAGAACAGTGCTGGAGTATAGAAGGCAGGCAATACTTGTTAGGTGGAATGCTGGGAGAAGAAAAGGAGTCCAGACTCTATCCCATTCCTCTATCCTCCTTCAGAAAAAAAAAAAAACTTAAAAGGAGTATTTGTGTGTTTGCTTTTGGTCTTTTTTTTTCGTTTCTCATTTTCTTTTTCTACTAAATCACTTTTATTATTCAACGCTCTCCAGCCTGGCTTCACACCAATCGGTTTCCTCAAAGCAGCCAATGACTTCCATGCTGTGAAATTCAATGGCCACTTTTTTGTCTGTGTCTTACTTAACTTTGCTTAACAGATGTTACTATGCTCTTCTTCTTTAAAAAGGTCCTCTTGAAATTCATTGCATTAACCTATTATGATTTTCATCCTAATTCTCTGAAAGTTCCTTTTTATTCCCGTTTGCTGGGGCCTCCTCCATCGGAGTGGCTCCAGCACTGGTCCGAAGCGCTGTTCTCTTCTCTATTTCTGTACCTACAAAGAATATTTGACTTGGGGGGGGGAAAAATGACCTCCCTAGATGATCTCATTCTGATCCGTTTTTTTAAATGTTACATCTCCATTTGGATGTCTGGAAGGCATATCAAACTAAACATGCCCCATCAGAGCTCTTGGTCCTCCCTCTACACAGCTCACCTGGCTTCTACCACCTCAGTTAACAGCATCACCATCCACCAAATGCAAGAGTCATTCTTGACTCCTGTCTTTCCCTCTCATATGCATACAATCCATCAGCAAGTCTTATTATTTCTTATTTCAAAATATTTAGTGTACATTAAATCTATTTCTTCCCATTTCCATTACCAGTACCCTTAACTGCTTACCTGTATTTTTAAACGGTCTCAACTAGGCTTGCTCTTGCTTTCCTACGATTTATGCTGCCCAACTTAAAAATCAAGTCATTTTCCTGCTTGAACCCTACCATAGCTTCCTAGTTCACTTTGAATAACATACTGACTCTTTAATATGATCAAGCCTTTGCCTACCTTTATAAGTGCACCTTATTCTACTCTCTGCTTCATTCATTAATCTCTGTCTCCATGTTAGCCTTCTTTCTCTTCCTAGACATGACCAACTTCTCCCCACTTCTGTGCGAATGCAGAACTCTGTATAATTGACTCATTTTTATTATTTAGGACTTATCTTCCTGCTATTTCCTCAGCAAACTTCTCTGACCACTGCTTCTAAAGCAGCTCATCAACTGTCACATGGGTGGGATCCTTAGACATTGGTGGGAATCACTATCCCCCAAAGAGCTTGTTAAACCACAGATTGCTAGGGCCCATTCTCAGTATTTCTGGCTCAGTTAGTTCGGCAGAAGATCCAAGAATTTGCATTCTTTCATGTTCCCGGGTTGTGTGATGCTTGTAAGAGGCTCACAATTTGAGAACTTCTGCTTAGTACGTTACCTCTTTTGCTCCTTTATCACATTTATTGCAATCTGAAAGTAACTTAATTGTATAGAAATAGTGTCTAAAAATGAGATAAGTATTATCTATATTATTTGTAACATACCCAGCAGTCCCTGGCACTAATATTTTGAGCAAAATTGATAATCCCAATTTTCTTACTTGGAGTAACTAAGGTCTGTGGCATGATGTCACAAATTTGAGATGGAGAAAAGTGGATAAAATAGTTTAACAGAAAAAGAAATTCAATTCGGAGTTTGTTAATTTGTCTTCTCTGTAAAACGTCTCCATGAAAATATCCAGAAGGTAGGGAGTATTCGATATAAACCTTCTCAGAGAGATTGAGGTGAAGATGTAGATTTTAGTGTCTTTGTTTAAAAACAATAAAGAATTGTATTGACAGGAAGTGGCCTCTCTTCAGTTTGATATTATCACAGTCTTGGTTTATTCCCTTTTACTTCCAATCTGGTCATTAATGAAATCTTTTGATTGGCATGAGGTGGGGGAGCAGAACTGGGTTTGTGTTATTTTATCCTAAATAAGCTCTCTAGTTTTCTAGGGAAAAACAACCTAAAATAAAAACAGTGCTCATGAGACATGATAAACAAAGGTAAACTTAACTCTGAAGAATTTTTTAAGAGCAAAGTTCTCACTTTCTATTGGAGGAATGTTTTCACCTACAAATTGTTGTTTAAGTATTTCAATACCCCATATTCATGAATGAAGGGCTTTTTATAATCATTTTTTATTCTTTATAGTACATTATTATTCTAGTTGTATAAACTGGAAACTGGGAACATACTTATATAGCAGAAATCAATGAGATGTGTTATAGAAATATGGGTGAATTCCTTTTTAATTATCTGACTATAATGCAGCTAAGAAGTTGCCATTTTTTAACATGCACATACATATGCAATATGCAGGGACTAGTAAATGTGTTGATGTGCATATCCAATTAACTCACTAATTACCAAAAATAACCACCGTCAATATCCATCAACCAGGTTTTTGACTTGGGGAAAAATACTATTTGGCTTATTGTCTATACTTTGTATAATACTGACCATTTAGTTGAAATTTCATAGTATATAAATGTAGATGTGAGAAATTACCCAGCAGAAGTTAATTGTTCTTTAACAAGTTACTTAACACATATGTCCAAATATTGGATATATATGTTTGACTTCGCTTTTGCCATACTTGTACAAGGGATGTGAGCAGATCTAATTATAGCAATTACAGAAATACATTTATGACATAAACTTGGGGGTAACAAATGTAACTCATTTAGTACAGACAAGATTTTGAGAAGGAATAGAGCAGTTACCTGAGGTTGCTCTCAACTGCTGCTCTGTAAGATCATCCTCACAGGTCCTGGCTCCCAAAGAGGCAGTTTCTGCAGAGGACACCAGAGTGGAAGGTAATCAGAATACTATGTCCAGCTCTGCAGTCATAGCCAGTATCACAAGAACCCCAAATATGACTTCCAACAAGATGAGCATCAGGTAGAGCTCAGGTGAGACTTTGGCACACCTTATACCCTAGTGAGCAGTGGTTAGCAAAGTGAGTCTGGGGAGTAGTAAGCTTAGATCTACTTCTGATAAGTAGCACACAACAAATACAATGTAGACAACATGTGACAGGAAGAAGATTCATTCTGATTTTTACCTCTTGGGTATGTGGCCAGGTCTATATTATAGGATTATGTGTTAAAATGACAACTGCACATTCCGTAAATTATGAGCATACTTTTACTTCTCTGTCATGGTAGCAAAACAAAAACAAAAACAAACAGAAAACACAATATTTGATAGCTGATGTGAGAAATCAAAGCAAAAAACAAGCACTTGAAGAAAGCTGAAGAATATGCCCAAGTCATCAGTAAATCTACATTTCTATTCTGATCTTCTATTTGAGCTCCTAAGCAGAAGTGCTAAAAATGTCTTGGTTTGATAAACTCAATCCCAAACACAAATCATTATTTTCATCTAATTGCACAAGTCCTTTGTGTTCCCTGTTGTAGGGAAATCTATTAAAAAAACATAGACCTCAGAAATCACCCTCAACAGCTCTTTCTTTTTCCACCCGGTCACATGCTGTTGACTCCATTTTATAGTGTCTCTTGTCACGTGTGTTTCTCTAGTTCCCTGTCGTCTTCTCTTCCCTGACAACTTCAATACCCACCACAAGAGTCTCCGTGCCTTGAGTCCCTTGTCTTTCCAATCTGATCTGCCACAGTATCTCCAGAGCTATCTTTCAAGAATACAAAACGCCTTGAGTGCAAACCATGGCCCTCCCACTTTCTAGGTATGGGACCTTAGGTATATTAGGTAACCCCTCTAAGCTTCAATTCCCTTGTTTACATAAATAACCAACAATTGTATGAGAAAATAATACAAATAAAGGTATAATGTGATGTGGTCTTTAAAGCAAGAAAAAGGCCAGATCTTACTGAAAGGTTGAAAAAGTTGTCACACAGTTCTTACACTGCTGATGAGATTCATGTTCATCTAATATTTCTAGGCAATAGAATCTCTGGTTCTTTCCAAAGGCTTTAATTAAACAAATAATTACCCTTGACAACAGAAGTGCACACCAAGGCACTATTATTGCATTTACTGATTGTTTTCGTGCTATGTACAAAAGATTTCGTGGCAATCTATTTAAAACCGTGCAATTATAATAAACACTCAGTGCCCTCCCCACCCAACAACAGAAAACATTGTTTTCTTGTAAATATATCTTAAATCAGTCTTGGAAGGAAGAATTTATCCTCAGTCTTGCTTATAAATCCAGAAATAACTTCCGTATTGATCACAGTATTGATGTCCATCCAATATTTCATTCACAAAGCCCACCTTCGTCCTCCTGGAAGTCTCTCGTGTTGGTCAATGCTTTTCTTTTTACTTTTTGGCTGTCTTTTTGTTCCTCTCCTGTTAAACTCTTATTATTCCCTGAAAACCCAAAGCAAATGTCACTTCCACTGTGTTCCCACAATGATTAACTTATAAGTATGTTTTGCACTCACCATGATGTATAATTTTGTACATGATTTGTGCACATTCCCCCAATAAATTGGGAGTTCCTCAAGAACTTTCATCCTCATAGATTCTCAGCTAAGGACAGAGTGAGGCATATCAAAGTCACCTAGGACATTTTTATTCAAAATACTTGTCTACACTCTATATCCTGAAACAAATGAATCTCAAGATGAGGATTGTATAAAAGCTTCCCAGGGCCTCAAGACTAAATACACAGCTCTTTCAGTTATACCAAACACAGATATTAATTCCTGTTACATATACAGATCTTTCTCAATTTTTGATGGGGTTACATCCTGATAAATCCATGGGAGGTTACATCATAAGCTGAAGATGCAATTAATACACCTACCCTACTGAACATCATAGCTTAGCTTACTTTACCTTAATGTGCTCACTACATTTAAACATGAGCCTACAGTTGGGCAAAATCATCCACCACAAAGTCTATTTTATAATAAAGTATTGATTATCTCATCTAATTTATTGAATGCTGTCCTGAAAGTGAAAAATGGAATAGTTGTATGGGTACAGGATGGTTCTAAGTGTAACAGTTGTTTACTCTCTGACAGAGTGACTTGCTGGGAGCTGCGGCCCCCTGTCCAGCATCATGAGAGAGGATCAAACTGCATATCACTTGCCTGGGAAAAGATCAACATTCAAAATTTCAACTAGTTTCTACCAAATGGTTATCGCTTTGGCACCACTGTAAAGTTGAAACATTGAAAGTCAAACCATTATAAGTGGGGAGACCATCTGTGTGTGTGTGCATATGTGTGTATAGGACAATTTCTAGGAAAAAAGAACATACTATCAAAGAATCCTCACCATTCTATGCACACACACACACACAATTTATATGAAAACTTAGTGAGTTTGTATTTCTACCAGCTGCTGTGATACACTGTGTAAAAACCTCACAAATAAAATCATGAGTAAAATCACAAGGCAATTATCAATCCGTATTTTACAAATCAGGAGGCTGAGGCTTAAAGAGGTTAAGGTAACTTGCCCTAGGTCTCCAAACTTTAAACAGAGAGCCTGGGATGAAACTCAGGTCAGCCTGGTACAAGTCTACGAGATTTCAGGTATGTCCAATTATAATACCACAGTATTAAGAATCCTATATAGATTTTCCTAGTTTTATAATAGAAGGCCAGAAACCAAGTGGGAGAAAGAAAGCAAGCAACTTTTCACTAGTCTTGTGAAGATTCTGTTTCATAAAACATTTACATTCCTTGCATATATACTGTAACAAAATCATAACTTGGTGCCATATTGAAATCACTTCATTTGAAAGTGACTTAAGGAAATGAAAACATGTCAAAACCAGAAACTGTTATTTAATCTCACAAATTAGGTCACATGGTACTTGGAGACTGCTCTGGTAAGAGTGGTTGGTACAAGTAGTTTTTCATGTGCCACATAATTTTTCTTAGACCTTCAACACATTGCCCCCTTTATACAAATGATATAAATATTTTAATAAAGTAACTTTTAACTCATTAAATGAACTGGTTAATCTATACCTTTCTGAGTTAAATGAAATGTTTAAAACCTATTAATGATACATAGCATCTTTCAATATTTCACTTTAATAACTACTCTGTAATAATAAATCTGACATCTGTTAACACTATCCATCTCTTTTGCTAGTGATTTAATTAGATTACTAATTTGTGTTCTCTAGCACCTGACTTGTCTTGTTGAATACTACTTAAAGATAATATCACTGACAATTTATCTAGTATTCTAGACTATTCTACCAATTTGGTGATGATCACACATTTGAAAATGGTACCAAATTACTCTATTTTTGTTAACACAATATGAGAGTAATCGGCTGCATTTTCTGTGGAATAGGGTATTGATTATCACAATCACCACCATCAAGAACAACATTTTATACAGTATTTACTCTATGCCAGGCACTGGCTGATGCCCTTCATGGAGTTACGGCAGCCCTAGCAAGTGATGGAGCCATGATTTGAACCCATGAAGTTTTATTTCAGGGATAGTTCTCTCAACCACAGTTATTTACTGAGCCATATGTTTAAAATCTTAAAAGTAGCTTTCCTTTTGATTCTGCAGTTATTTCTCACATTCATTTTCTCATTTTGGTTTAATTCTGCTCACCACCTATTCCTGCAGTCTAACCCAAATGGTTACATCTCCAAAGATAATGATTAAAGCCTAAAATTTTAGGGTCCCCATTCCCTATAACTGTGAGAATGGAAGCTCTCACAGTGCTCCCCCATTTCCTCACACTGCCATACTTACTTATAAGCTTATCCATCTCATTCCTCCTTTTCACCTTTCTTTTCTCTTATATGAATAATTATCCTGGTAAGTGAACTGATAACTTTGAGGTATTTAATCTTAGCTTAAAAATCATCAAGTTCTCATCTGTCAAATCTTTTTTTTTTCCTACTAACTGGGCTAACATTTTTTAAAATATTATAATCAATACAAATCTAATGATCAAGGAAAATCTGGATTTTTTTCAATTTTTTAATCTTTATATAGCCGACAGAATTCTAAGTTTAAGAATGTTTGTTGTGATTTGGGAATAACTCTAATCCGCACTTGATGATCAGAACAGCCATGTGCTTTTCGTATTCTTATTAGCAAAATTAGGGAAGCATTTGGCACAAGTTCAGTGGAAACTGAAATTTTAAAAACAGTGGGTGAATATTTAAGCTTCCAAGTAGAATGCTAAGACAGTATTGCTACAAAACTTGCACATCTCACTCCTTCCCATTGATTCCTTAATGCATAAATAATAAAGTGTATCACTATTTTCAGCAAAATGTTTAGCACATAAAATGAGATATGTACCACCAAACAGAATAAATATTAAGTCAACTGGCCTAAAGTCATGAAGAGAAGCAGTCCTAGGTGATATTTTGAGTTCCACTTTATTCTCATCCACTTAAAAAGAAGATGAGCCCATTCTTAGTTTTTAATTGGAGAATAAGACTAAATTCTAAAAGAGACTGCTCAAGTTTCCAAGACCTAGCTTCTCTCCATTTTCCTTTTGAAACCCCTACCACTCTACCACAGTTAAGTGTAACTCATTGTAAAAGGATATTTTAGAGGCTCTGTGATACAAAAGAGAATATATTTGAAGCTCTCTAATTTCAAAATAACAAGTGAACTGTTGTTATGTATGGAAACCTGTTAGGTGCTAAGCATGTCACATACAGTTCCTTAATCCTCACAGTAAATCTGTAACAGAAAAACTACTGCTTTTATGGAAGAGATGAGCAATCAAAATTCAGACATTTTAAGTATATTTTTTTAATCCCCAAAGGCAACAGAATAGCAGAGGAAGGATTTGAACTGAGTCTGTCTG